AGGTTAGTGGTGAGGGGTGGGGGGGGAGAGTTGGGGGGTGCGGGGAAGTTGGGACCTTCCAGAGACTTCCTTGAACTTGATACAGCACCTTATCACGTCTTCTTCGAGACGTCTCAAAGCCCTTCACCGAATGGTGTTGGCGGAGAGGCTGTCTCAAACAGAAGCAGGTCATCTCTTGATGCAGGTCTCTCTTACACGTCTCAAGGGGAGAAAGGGAATGTGATCAGATCACAGTACATAGGGGGGTGAGGGGACGGAATGGGGTTAGTGAGAGACCTACCGCACGGACTATGCAGTCTTACATTTTAGGACAAAGGAGGTGAGGGAATTTTGGGTGGAGAAGCTTTGTAAATATATTTACTAACTGATTTCCACAAATATCTAATCTATACTGTATTGTATGTATGTGTGTGCATGTATATATGTATATATATATATATATATATTGTTTTCTAATGATGTAAGTGTCCTCACACGAGGGGGGGGGGAGAAACAAGATTGTGCGGCAATTACTTTTCACTGCCCACATAGAAAAGGCACAAGGTGCAAAGTAACCGGGTGGGCAGGAGGTTCATTGGCAGAGATGGGTAGGATGTGAAAGCATCTGTTTGATACCGAAATGTTGTTTTGGAAATACACAACTTCACCAACAACTTACTCACACACACATACACGAAGACACTCACACGCACACTCCCTCCCTCCCTCCGCTCACACACAGACTCACTCTCTCTATCAAACACACACTCCCACACACGCTCCCACTCACCCACAGACACTCTCTCTCACACACACTCCCACTCACCCGCAGACACTCACCCACAGACACACAACACACACAACCACAAAATTTGGGCTTTAGTGACGACCATCATTAGGATTGTTGTTGTTGTTGTTGCTGCAGTGTAATGAGATGGGGACAGTGTAATGGCCTGGAGGGGCAATCTAATGGGCTGGGGAGGGGGGGGGGGGTGGGTGTGTGGGCAGTGTAATAGGCTGAGGGGGTAGTGTAATGGGCTGGGGTGTGCAATAGGCTGGGGGGCAGTGTAATGCTCTGAGGGGCAATGTAATGGGATGCGGGGGGCAATCTAATGGGGAGGCAATGTCATGGGCTGGGGTGGGGGATAGGGGTGCAGTGTAATGGGGCTGGGGGGGGAGGGGGCAGTGTAATGGGTTGGGCTGGGGAGGGGGGCAGTGTAACGGGCTTGGAGTGGGGGGAGGGGGTGTGTGGGGGGGGGGGGGAGGGGTGAGGCATGTGCTGAATTTCCGGAAAAACTGGAAAGAGTCCGTTATGTGACGGTAAAGTGTGGTGTGCGGTTGGGACAGGAAACCCCAGCGAGAGGTTAGTGCTGAGCCTGGGTTGTGATGTGCACTTTCACTATCATTCACACAGCGGCTCCCATCACGGGCTGCGAAGGGGAAAACCCCCCCCGTGCAGCCAACCGACAAAATATAATTCACGTCGCGTCGCCGGTGGGGTGGGGTGGGGGGGAGATATCAAGGCCTATAATACATGTGTAAACCATGTGTTAACTAACCCAGGTGTATCGTTTTCAGCGTGCAAGCATTCATAATAATAATAATAATCCTTGCATTTGATGTAGCGCCTGGTCGCGTCTTCGAGACGCCTCAAAGCGCTTCGCAGAGTATACTGCAAGGTGCGGTGACTGTATAATTTGCGGGCGAAACAACGTGCGAACCGCGTGCGAACGCGGCGGTAATCGTGAGCCGTTGCGGCCAGGAGGTCGACTGATCGGAGAGAGGAATGTGTACCTTTCAAACCATTCGTCTTTGCAGAGAACAAGGGGTGGGGGGTGGAGGGGGGGGGTGGTTAACGACAAGCCTGTATCTGCGCTCAGTCCCGTGATGAAGCGCATCTCCCGTTGGCAATCCTCGCATTTCCGGAGGATCCCTGTAGCTGAGCGGTTAGAGCATTCGCCTCGCAAGCGAGAGACCCGGGTTCGATTCCCGGGCGAAACACTGGGCAAGTTTCCTTACTCCACACAAACACGCACACGCGCCTCTGTTTACCAGCAGTCAGTAGGAACCCGGTTGTTAGTCGATCGGCCGATCGCTTTCCAGGGGTGGCTAATAATCCCGTCAAAATAAAGCAAAATAATTTGGTCCCTCAACCCACGGCTGTTTGTGGGGACGCTGCTGTGCGCAATCGGCTGCCGCGTTACTCTGTTAGGCACGTTGAGACGTCTCGAAGACATGATAATAATCCTTGCAACAAGAATCATGTGAGAAGGCGCTATGTCAAGTGCAAGGATTATTTGTTATTCCGATGAGATTACTGACAGTGACAAACAGGCCGTTTTATAATTGGAGCTGAGTGAAGATCCCTCGGGAGCCAGGAGTCAGTCAGCTTTATTGGGTTTCTCACCGTCACGGTTAAAGCCTCCGTTTGTCCCCTCAATGACCGATCGGCAAACAGCTCGACGGAAAATAACAACAATCTTCACACTTGGCATCGCGCCATCGAGTCTCTGAAAGCGCTTCACAGGATTTCATGGCTGAGTGTCGTGACTGTGTATTTTGGTGGCGTGTGGCGTGTGGAATGATGTAAACTCCGTCCACCGTTCTTTACCATCACTAGTGATGGCCACTTAAGCAGTTTCTCACCAAGTTACCGCACGCATTATCTGGTTATAGTTCCACGCATGCTCATCCATGCGCTCACACTCACACACACGCACACATATCCGTACGTTCATATCCACATACACTATACGCGCGCACTCACACCTGTACACAAACACGCTCACTCCTGTCCACAATCACTCACACACTTGCACAAACACACACAAGCTGCGATATCTAGTTCTCTGAGTATTGCCCCCTGTGCTGTCGAGCTATATCTAACGCCCTCCCCCGGCTAACTTCCTCTGGTATCCGGTTATGGAGCAAACACACAGGTTTCTCTGATGCCCGACGATGTTTAACTTGGGTCCTTTTCTACAGAAGCAGAATGCTTCGTCAAGGAGGCGCTTGATGCTGAGCTACTAACCAAGAAAGATAATTCACAGCCACAAAAAGGACATTTGTCCTCTGTATCTATGCAGGTTTTTATCTCCTGCATCGAGCTCTGTACTCCAAACCCAATCCCCTGCTCTTTCCCCCATCGTGTCCGCACTGGTGTCCACTCTCTCTCTCAGTGGACCTCTCTATTCCCATTCCCCATCGTGTTTGTGCAAATTAGCTGCCGCATTCGCCTATAAAATACGCAGTCGCTGCCCTTCGCGGTATATCCTCCCAAAGTGAATGTAAAGATTACTTTCTGACCTGAAGACAACCCTCTATCCTGGACGCTGTGTGCTTTATTCTTCTAAACCGCTTGCCTCTATTTCACATCCCCTTTGTCATTTTTACATCCTCTCTCCGACACCCTCTGTGTCTCCTACAACTTCACTTTCACCTTCGCTAGCCGAACACGGCCTCTCCCTCCTGAACCAGTCGCTCCCCCTTTCCCCCTCCAACCAGCGCCCCCACCCCACCCACTCCCCCCCCCCACCACCCGGAGCACAGAAACCATTGCATCCCGGGGTGTGTTTCTCTCGCTGTAGTTAGAGTATCAACACAGCGTCGGGTCCTCAACTGATTCCTGGCCTTCAGCAATTAAGGCTCAGGTTAGGACTCTCTCTTCTGGATCAGCTGGAGATTGGCTGCTGCGTTCACCTACAGGCCGCAAAGTCACTACACTTCATAGTAAAAACCCTGTGAAGTTTGGCAGGTTCTCTGGGGTTCTCGGCGCTGTATTGAATGCAAGGATTATTATTATTAACATGGGATGGGCTGTGGCCTCATTGGCTGTGAGCCAGACCATGTCCCAGAAGTGAGAAGACAGTGTGTGACCGGCTGCAGGGCTGGTTCCTCTCTTGCTGTTGACCTGCACCCAGGGCTTCCACTGTATCCTCGTCCTCCTGGACATCTCTGCTGCCTTCAATGGGGTTGACCACTATATGCTCCCTTATCCGCAGACATGGGGTCAACTTCCACATCCATTCTACCTCTCTGCCTCTACCCTCGACTTCAGGACCCACTGTCCTGACAGAATGTCCGTCAGACATCGAGCTCTGGATGAGAGTGAACTTTTTCAGTTGAACGTCAACAAGACCGAGGCTCTCCTGATTTGCTCCCGTCAGCACCTCCTCACCTCAGGCGCTGACAGCATCACCATCCATGGTTGCACACTCCACCTCGCTGAGACAGTCTGGAACCTCGGGGGTCTTGTTTGACCCTCAACTATCCTTTCTACCCCACATCTGCGCCATGACCCGCTCTGCCTTCCCCCCACCTCATATCCCGGCTCCTACACTATCTCACACCACAGGCCACCGAGACCCTCGTACACACCTTCATTACATCGAGGCTCGACTACGCAAACTCACTGCTTATCGGCCTTTGACCACCCTCCTCCCTCCTTCCCCCCCCCGCCCCCCACCTCCCCGATCCCGACCCCCAGCTGAAACACGAGTAGTTCAGCACCTTCAGATGTGCTCCCGACGTGAAAGGTGCTTTACGCATGTAATATTGTTGTTGTTGTTGACCTGGACACATTCTCCAACAAAAGAGGAAGTAGATCACAGGAGAAAGGTTCGGGCCAACAAGGTCCTTTGGAAGGAAAGTGAGGAACAGTTGTGGAGCTTCCCTCGTGGCTGTTAAAGACCGGGGATTTCCACGCGGTCTCCTGGTAGACAAGCCCTTCGGGATGAAATTGGCTGTTCACTTCATGGCTGTAGTGACTGTGTATTAGTGGCCAGTTTGTGTCCCTCCTCTCAGAGTCTTGCAGTGAGTGACCAACATCATCATCAATGGGGGATGGGAGGTGGGGGAGTGTTCCCCCCCCCCGCCCGCCTGCCCCGAAACGCACACACAGGACTGGGGAAGGAGGGGGATGTGTGTATGCTGTGACACGTGTGCGCACGCGCACACACACACACACACACACACCCCACACACACAAACACGCACAAACATACGACAAGTCCCACGTGGTATTGAGAGACAGGAGGCGGGGAGAGAGGCGTGTTGTGGAGCCCAGGCTGGGCTGGGCTGGTTCTTTGGAAATTTAGTGCTGTTTGATGTGTATCTGGTGAAGAGAGAGAGAGAGCGAGAGGGAGAGTTAGCGCATGGAGTAAAGCGAGAGGCATTTCTGCTCACACACTCCGAAATGGGTAAGTATTAGGCAAGAGAAGCCCAGATGATTTCTATCGGGGAGGGTTTTGGGGGGTGAGGGGATGGGAGGGGGAATTATATATATATATATATACAGTGAAAGTTCAATTGTAATTGTGCAGCTTTATATAAAAAAAAGTTCATACAAATGGAATAGAGACGCAGTGCGGAGTGAGCAAATGGAACTCACTGGTTAATGTGAGAAGGCGGTGCAGAGTGTTTGCTCAGTGGGTTGGGATTTTGGTGTCTTGTCTGTATGTGTGTGTGTCCGTGTGTGTGTGTCAGTGTGTCTCCTTTCAAGACCCATCTCAAGACACTCCTCTTTGACCGTGATTTCGATCTCCCCATCTCACCCCCCCCCATCTCCCGCTGCCCTCCGCCCTCCCCGATACCCCCCCCCCCCCCCCTCCCCAGCTCGGGTCCGAAACTCTGACTGTCCAGCGCCTTGGGCCATCCTCCCGCCGTGAAAGGCGCTTTACAAATGTAATTTTGTTGTCGCTGTTGTTGTGTGTGTTAGTGTGTGTCTGTGTGTCGGTATGTGTGTGTGCGTGTATCAGTGCATGTCTGTCTGTGCGTGTCAGTCTGTGTATATCTGTGTGTGTGTGTCTGTCAGTGTGTCAGTGTGCATGTGTGTGTCAGTGTGTGTGTGTATGTATGTGTGTCTGTATATGTCAGTGTGCGTGCGTGTCAGTGTGTGTGCGTGTCAGTGTATATGTGTGTCTGTGTGTGTGTGTGTGTATCAGTGTGAAAAGGAGCATCTTGTTGTCCAAATGCCAGTCACAGTGCAAACTCTGAGAGCAGAGCAGGACCGAGGTGTGAGGGGATTTGATTTCAGTCAGTGACATGGTGTGAGCGAGTGAGACACAGGATATATCCCGTGTGCCCCCAGTCACCACTTATCATAACAGTAATAAACCCGGCATTTGAGATGACACCTCATCACGTCTTTGAGACGTCTCAAAGTGCCAAAGCCGGGGTGGAAGGGAGGGGGGGGGTGTGGGGGGAATATTATGAACCATACTTGGAGCTGATGTAAGTCAGGCTGTCTATCGCAGCGGAAGTCTCAGCGAGATAGAGGACTTGAACCTGGATCTCAGATAGTTGGCCAGGACACTGGCGAGGAGAGAAACTTCCTTCTTGGTGTCCAACAGGATCGTTTAACATCCACCCAAATACTTTTAGAGTCACATCTGAAGGATGGCATCTGCAGCAGTGCTCTCCACCACCCACCCCTCCACCCCCACCACCCACTCCACCACCCCCCCCCAAACCCCCCACCGTGAGCTGGTTGATACATCAGCAAAGTTTTCTTCAGATCTTCATCAAAAGCTAACCCATTGCCAGGCTGCGAATGGCCAGGTTATGAGTCAGAGCCTCGGGGGATTTTGGCACAAGTGTTTTTGTAGAAAGTTCTGTAATCATTCCTGTGGAAGCTAATCTGAGTCTTGCTACGCGTGACGTCGCTGGAAGGGGAGCAAGAGGAACAATATAAGTGCTTTTGCTCAATACTTATATCCAGTTTTGCTGAATCTGGTTTACAAGGAAGGTTTTATATAAATTGTGGTATCTGACACCAGTGCTGATGGGAAGTTGCTGCTATTTTCTTCAGTCACTACATTTAACGGTAAATCCTTTGAGACGACACCGCCTCCACCCCACCCCCCCCCGCCGGCGAGACGCGATAAGGCTCTGTACCAAATGTGAAGATTATTGTTATTATTAATAATACAAGCAATACATTTGGTGCAATGCCTTTCATGCCGTGAGGACATCTCCAAACCCTTCATGGGATTTACTGTAAAGTGTGAGCAACTGCGAGAGAGCCCACTCTCTTCCACCGTCATCTCCCCAACCACCCCCCACCCCACCCCCTCTATTCCTCCCCTTTCCCCCTTCCCGGTCCTCCCCCTCACTGGTGACTGGGGATACCTGAGAGATGGAGCCGGGCACGAACACAGCTGAAAGATCACTTTTTGGAGCTAAAACAAAGGTTTTATTCAGACTCGGAGAGAAACAAACCATCACCAGGTGAATAAAAACACAAAACAAACGCGCTGTTTGCCCACGCGCTCTGGGCAAAGAGAAGCAGAGTTTCTCCCAGACGGTTGTGTAGTGACTGTGTGTTTTGAGGGCGAAAATGGCTCATTCACTGCAGGGCTGTGTTTTTTTTTTTTTGCAGTGTGCAAACCGGCTTGCTGCATTTGCCTCCTGAAGCACAGTCACTACACACAGCCAGTAATCTCTTGCGAAGCGCTATGAGGGGTTTCAGTAGCAGTCTCGGGGTGGGGGGGGGGGGGGGATTTGTCTCTCTCTGAGCTGCACGCGCTGCTCAGGAATGATTAACGATGGAGCCAGCTTTGCGCTGATGCGGACACTTGGGGAGGATCGGGGGGGAAGGTCACTCACAGACAATCATGTTGAAGATCAAGGGCGAACGTTTCTCTGACAAAGCCCTTTCGCGTGAGAACGCTGTGAATGCACACGTGTCCAAGGCGTCACGAAGTGGTATCTCATCCACACACCCACCCCCACCCCCTTCCCCATCACCCCCCCACCTCTCCGCGTGTCAAATAGAAGTCACCAATTCCCTGGCCAGCGGGACCGTTCCCTCAGGCATGTTTTCTCCCGCTTTATCCAGGTTTAAACGCTGTGTAAATGCACGTTGTTGTCGTGGTGTTGGCTTATGTCAAGTCACTTGGCAGTGAATCCCCCCCATCGTCGCCCCCGACACACAAGGCGCTGTACGGAATGTGCAGATTATTGTACTATATTACTAATATCCGGAGGGATTGCTGAGCCACTGTATTCCCACACGTCAGTGAAACAGCCCTCACCGCCTCTGTAATAAAAACCGGAGTCACTGGGAACACGCGGCAGGTCAGGCAGCATCCATGGAGAGAGGAAAACGAGTTAATGTTTCAGGTCAATAATCTTTTGTCAGAACCTTTTGCCCTCGGTGCCTTTTTTTGTTAAAGTTCTGGATGTTTTGCTTGTCTCTGTCATTTCTCTGTCGCTGTCGCTGTCTCTGTCCTGGTTAATGTCTTGCTTCTTACCTTTACATTCCCCCCACCTCCTCAAACTCTACCCACCTGTCCCCTCCCTCCTATCTCACCTGTCCCCTCCCTCTACCTCACCTGTCCCCTCCCCTCCACCACCCACCTTGTTCGCCGGCTTCCCCTTCTCATCCCCCCACTCTCCACTCTCAATGCTAATCTGTTAGTCATTCATTCATCTGATCAAACCTAATGGTTTTCTTATCCCTTTCATATTTTTCCTATTAATATTAATGCAGAATAAATACTAATTGTGGCTGCAGTGAAACCTTTTTATCTGGTCGTATGAGAGGGTGGTCCTTGTACGTGAATTAATATGAGAGGAGTTTGGAGTCAGGGCTCTCACACGCCTGTAGCACATACACCTCTGGTCAGATATTTGTGGGTTTAATCCCCACCCCATCAGGACCTTTATAATAATAAACCATGCATTTGATGCAGCGCCTTATCACATCCTCGAGACGTCTCAAAGCGATTCACGGGATACAGTGTAATAAAGGCTGTGTCACAGTTGCTCCAACTCAGGGCTGGGAGGCACCATCCTACGGATGAGACGTTAAAACCGAACGCCACGGAGATCTTTTAACGTCCGTCTGGACAGGGCACAGACCGGGTGGGTCGGGGAACCTCGGTTTTTAACGCCTTATCCATCGGACAGCTCCTTCACGTGGGGCTTCTCATCAGTGAAACGCTCACCTCACGAGCGGGGAAAAGCACCTGCTCAGTAACGGGAGGTTGGATTCAGGAACCAACGATGTCTTGTGAGGGTGCTTTTCTCTCTCTCTCTCTCTCTCTCTGTTTTTTCCAAAGAGGAAGTGAGTAATAAGAGGGGAAATTCTTTTGTGTTTAATAACACCAGAAGTTTGAAACTCCTGTGTTTCACAATCATTTTAGAAAACAATGCCTAGGCTGCCGGCTCTGACGAAATAGACCTGAAATGCAACTCATTTTCTTCTCTCCATGAATGCTGCCCGACCTGCTGCGTGTTCCCAGCCACTTCTGGGTTTGTACGTGAAATGAGGGGCTGCGGTGGGGGTGGGGAGTGGTGGGGTGGGTGAAGCTATCACCTCGTGTGTGGGCGTGTTGGGGTTAGTGATGAGGGATGAGATCGGACGGACCTAAGTGCCTCCTTCATTGCGACTGATCTTCAGTGGGGTGGGGTGGGGTGGGCTGACGGTTATGAACGCACCGGCCTTGACGAGCGCCAAGTTCCCCTGTTAATTATGGTGCTGTTTCCACACAGTCTTCAAACTTGTTTTAGATTTGCTTTCAGTTTGGGGGCTGTTGTGGGAGGTGGGGGAGGGAGTCGGGGAGGGCGGGGTGGAGGGGGGGCGCGGAAGGTGCTTGTTCTATACGATCTCTCTGTGGTGATGGGTTCAAAGCCTATTTGAGCCAATATCTGACGCTGACTGGAGTCCAAGAGAATCTCATCCAGTTCTCAATCCAAATGTTTTCATTGCGTTAAATAATAATAATCCTCGCATCTGATACAGCGCCTTATTGCGTCGTCGAGCGCTTCACTGGATTTTACCGTCAAGTGTATTGACTGTATTTTTAGGCGAATGTGGAAGTTTATTTAAAATATGCACTTATTTATTTACAACCGTAATATTTGGTGCGAATGCCAATTCAAAACACTCGCAGAGTGCCACATCTTCTGTGACAATTTTATTTCCTTTTCTCCCGATACGAAAAAGATTCGGTTTGTTTAGCGGTACGTTCCTTCCCCTCATCGTTCCCTCGGTTCTGGCTTCGGGAGCCGAAGGGCCTCCTTTACCGAGTTTATGACCCGCCGGGCGCTCGCTGTGGGTTGCGCTGTGAGATCCTGGGACAGCACCGAGTGCCGTAGAGCAGGTCCCCAGGGACGACCCGCGAGAGAATCCTTTCCACCTTTTTCCAAACCGCCTTCGGGTCCCAACCCTCCAAGAGGAGGTGGTCGTGCTGACTGGCCCAGACCTCGACCGACCATGCCCTGAGGTGGGAGGGGGTTTGTCTCCATTTTATTGCCAGTCGGGCCATGTCCTGACGGCTGTTGGTCAGGGCCGGCGACGAGGTGTTTGGCTAGACGTAGCTGGCTGTGGGCGCAGGGTATCTCCCGATCGGGTCTGGCCTCTCCCCCTTTCGAACTGTCTCGGCTACCTGCCGCGCAGACCACTTGGTGATTGCGCCGGGATCTGAGATGTCGTTCTTCCGGAATTTCAAGATGGATCGATCCCTGCGGACACAATCCAACCTGGACCCCCCCAGATCAGTTGGAAGATCTTTCTGGTGACCGCTGTGGTCAACGGCCAGACCTGGGCCACAAACTCTGAGAAGGCCTCCACGCTTTATCACCAGGTTTTTTCCGGTGATGGACAGTGAGCTCCGGTGCCACATCACTGGTTTCGTCCTCACTGTACCTAGACGCTCCTCCCAGCTTTTCTGACCCGCCCCGGCAGCCCCGAACCAGATGCCGAGGGCTTTGATTTAGTTCTGGCTTCACCCCAATTGGTCTGTGACTGCGTTCTTTCCAGTCTCCAAAGTACGTCACCTGGTTTTCTTGGTGGTTGACCTTGGCTCCCGGGACTTGCCCAAACCGGTCGCAAAGGCCTGGCAGCTCGAGACCAACTTTTGGCTAGCGCAAAGGACGGAGACATGATCCATCCACAGGGATGCCTTGGCTTGTATGTCGTGGCTGCCCAGGATGGTGACACCTCTGATGCTCTCGTCCCTCCTGATGGCCTGTGCAAAGGGTTCGATGCAGCAGACAAACAGGGTGGGGGGTGGGGGTGGGGGCGCAGGTAGGGGGCAGCCAGGAATCTTCGGCCCCAAACCGTGCGGGTCTGGTCTGGGGTTATTACCCGCTTGAGGACAGTCTTCATCTGCTCAGAGATCACCTTTTTGCCAGGATCTTACAGCCCACATTCAGGAGTGAGATCGGTCACCAGTTCTTTATCTCCTCCTCCTCCCCCTTTTTCGTTTGTACAGTAGGAAGATGCTGCCTTTCCTCCCAGATTCTGCCAAGGTCCCTGCATGTTACTGTTGGCCTCCAGGTTTGGGCCCATCACGTCCCACAGAACCGAGTAGAGTTCCACCGGAGGCTATCACCCCTGGGGGCGGGTGGGGGGGGGGTCTTACCGGGCTCGTAAATTTGCAGCTAATTTAGGTACAGCCCTGTCCAGACACACACCAAACGTCGGTGAAGATTTATTGGAGGTTAAAGACCCAGAGACTCACTATCACATCGGCAGGATTTACAATCACGTGTCTGTGGTTGGTGTGAAAATGAAAATGGTCTTTCACACCACGGAGATCTGAGCTGAGCCTCTCACTGCCTGGCACCTCAGGCTCACACTCGCACACTCAAACACTCACAACCTTACACGCTCACACCCTCAAACCCTCCTCGTCCCCTGACCTGATGGTCAGACCCACTGGAGAGGTTCAACCTCAGGCCAGTGGCTGCTATCCTCTGCCCTGCCCCAGGCTGTGCTTTGCGCTCACTGCACACCGGCCTCACCCACTGTTTGCTGTTTGCGCTGACGTCATGGGAATTAAATATTGTGGTATTTATCATAGAAACAGGATTAGGCTATTCAGCCCCTCAAGCCTTGTTCTGTAGATGTCTGGAACTCTCTTTCTATCCCTCCCAAAGGATTGGGGATGGCAGATCCATTCACGTTTTCTGAAGCGGATCGATGTTTGTTCGGTCAGGGTGTTAAGAGATATGGGGCCTTCGCAGGTAATTGGACTTGTGGTACAAGTCTGCCATGATCTTGTAAAATGGCTGAACAGGCTCGAGGGGCTGAATGGCCTCCTCCTGTTTCTATGTTTGTATTTCTGAGTCGCACTGTGACCTGCTCTGTCATTGTAAACACCGTCTCGTGTGGCGTTCCTCAGGCTCTGTCCTTGGTCCCCTCCTCTTCAACATCTATGTGTACCCTCTTGGTGACATTATCCGCAGACATGGGGTCAAATTCCACATGTATGCGGGTGATACCCAACTCCACCTGTCTGCCTCCACCCTCGACTCCATGACCACTGCTGTCCTCACAGATTGCCTGTTGGTCGGGCATTCAGCCTCTTCTGTCCCCACCCTCTGGAACTCCATCCCACAGTCCTTCCATCTCATCCCCTCCTTTGCCTCCTTCAAGACTCATCTCAAGACCCTTCTCTTCAACCGTGCCTTTGGTCACCCTCCTACCCCTACCCACCTCGCCCGCCCTCACCCCTCCTGATCCCAACCCCCAGCTCAAGTGTGGATCCCTGACTGTCCAACGACTTGGGACGTCTTCCTGATGTGAAAGGCGCTGTGTAAATGTCATTTGTTGTTGTGTACACAGGTTGGGTTGGGGTACGGGGGTTGAGTTGGGGTACGGGGGTTGAGTTGGGGTACGGGGGTTGAGTTGCCAACTCCATTGTCTCACCCTTTGCTCACCATTGATTGCCTTCCAGCTCCTGACCTGAAGGGAAGATCTCGCAAGAGGAAACTGTCCTCAGACTGTGAGGGGCAGGACTGCAGTGACTCAGACCGTGACCAGCCTCAGTCCAAGGTGCCTTATGTGACGCATTGTAATGTTTTGTGCGTAAGCTCATTCCAATTCACAGACCCGGGTTCACAGTTAAAAGCAACGGCGGTTTCTGTGGTGTGGCCTTGTCTGATCGATGCTACGTCAGATAGCCACCACTCATAAACAAACAGCAAGATTTGCTCTGTGAATTGTAGTGAGTGGAAATTGTGAATGCAGCAGTTTGCCTCCCACTGCTGTGCATGAGCTGAAGAGTGTTTGTTCGGCTTGTTTTTAGACTTGAACTCGCTTCCCTTCTCTTCTCTCCTCTCCTCTTAGAATCGTAGAATATTACAGCACAGAAGGAGGCCATTCAGCCCATCGGGCCTGTGCCCCGGCTCTTTGGAAGAGCTACCCAATCAGTCCCACTCCCCCATGCGCTCTCCCCCACCCCCCAAACCCCTGCAAATGTTTCCTTTCCAAGTTCCTATCTAATTCCCTTTTGAAAGTTGTTATTGCATCTGTTTCCACCGACCCTTTCAGGCCGTGAGTTCCAGACCGTAACAACTCTGTGGGTAACAACATGTCTCCATATCTTTTTTGCCAATGATCTTATGTCTGTGTCCCCTGGTTACTGCCCCCCCCCACCCCCCCAGTGCAAACAGTTTCTCCCTATCTACTCTATCAAAACCCCTCATCATTGTGAACAAGTCGATTAAATCTCCCCTCAACCTTCTCTGCCCTAAGGAGGACAATCCCAGCCTCTCTCGTCTCTCCGCATAACTGGAGCCCCTCACCCCTGGTACCATTCTGGTAAATCTCCTCTAAGCCCTATTCAAGGCTCTGCACAACTTATAAAGGTTTAGCAAAACGTCTTTGCTTTTGTACTCTGTGCCTCTATTTATAAAGCCCCAAAACTAACACGCTTTCTTAACAGCTGTCCAACCTCCCCTTCTTTTCTTTCCTTATCGTCCCTTCTCCTCTCTTCCCATCTCTGAACCCCCCCCAAGACACTGCTCTGTGTGAATGGAGCTATATACGTACTTGTTGTTGTTCTCTCCTCTTCTCCACCACAATGGTCAACATACAGTGACCATCCTCCCCCTCCCTTGGTCCATAACACTTGGTCCATAATCCCTCCTCCACCCCCCCCCCCCCACCGCCGCCCTCGCTCGGTGACACTGTGTAACTTGGAGCTTGACTTGGCAGATGAAATGTGATGGGATGGAGCCGTGCTCGGAGCCAGTGAAGCTCTGCGGAGCGGGAGCGGGAGAGGACAGTGTGCAGGCCTCTGGCCTGGAGCAGCAGCACTTCATCACCAACCTGTACAGGTTCATGAAGGAGAGCAACCGGCCAATCGAGAGGATCCCTCACCTCGGCTTCAAACAAGGTGTGCCCTCTCTCCAGCCCCAAATCCCCTTCGCTTCCCTCTCCCCCCCCCCATCGAGGCTCAAACACAAAGTCCTCATCTCTTCCTGAACCAAACACTTCCAAAGCAGCAGGTTCATGATTTCAACCCCTCCCTCCCCTCCCTCCCTCGTCCCACTCTCCCCTCCCCCACCTCCTCCCCCTTTCTCCCCTCCCCTGGAGACTTTCCAGGCTGACGCTCCGGTGCAGTGGTGTGTGGGGGGGACGGGGGGTCAGTGCCACATTGTTGAAGGCTTCGTCCTATGGATAAGACTGTAAAGTGAAGTCCAAGCAAACAACACCGCTTCCCCCCAGAAAAAATGACTGGTTGTGCCCATTGTGTCCAAATTGGCTGTCGGGTTGGAAACCAATACACAATGATTGGTTGGTTGGTTGGTTGGTTCCCTGTGAACCAGGTCTGAGAGGAGAGTGAGTTACCTTAACCCTAACACGGTCTCTATCTCGTGTCTCCCTCCAGTTAACCTGTGGACCATGTACAGAGCAGTGGAGAAGCTCGGTGGTTATGAAGCGGTAAGTAGCACACTTATTGGTCAAGTAATAATAAGTTAATCCACCTCACCCCCCCCCTCCCTCGCCCCTGCCCCCCTCCCTCCCCCATTCCTCGGCCCTTCCTCGACCTCAACCCCTCCCTGAACCCCCTCCATGCAAGCTTCCTCGGCCCCGCACCCTCCCTCGCCCCCTCCGTCTCCTCCTTCAAGGCCCATCTCAAGACTTTCCTCTTTGATCGTGCTTTCGACTCCCCTCCCACCCCACCCCACGCTCACACTCCAACCCTCTTGATCCCAACCCCCAGGTCAGGTGCAAACCCTTAACTGTCCAGTGAGCTTGGGATGTCCTCCCGACCTTTCTACCTGCAGGATGTGAGGACCAGGTCTGAGGAGTGTAGCTCAGTCTGACCCCCCACAGCAGCCCACACATACAGTTGTCCTGGTCAGCAATTCTCCCCCCACCCCCACCACCAAATATATGTGGGGACGCTGCTGTGTGTAAATCAGCTGCCGAGTTCACCCACAAAATGCACAGTCGCTGCAGTTTACAATATAGATCCCGTGAAGTGTTTTGAAACGTCTCGACGACGTGACGAGGTGCTGCATCGAACGCGAGGGGCTTTTGTTGCGGGTTGAACCGGAATCAAAGGGGTCTCGGCCCCGCATGGCCTCCTTCCCTGTGGTGTACGTGTCCCCGATTCCATGAGGTTTACTGCTTCCCCCGATAAAGTGGGGCAGTGTTGCCTTTCCATCCAGAGGGATATAGATTGCACCCAGAAACTCTCCATCCCCTCTGCATCCCTCCCACCACCATAAAACCCCCCCCCTACCCCCCACCCCACCATCTCTCTCTCACGCTCCCTCTCCCTGCAGGTCACCACAAATCGCTTGTGGAAAAACATCTACGACGAGCTGGGCGGAAACCCGGGCAGCACGAGCGCAGCCACGTGTACGCGGAGACACTACGAGAGGTAGGAACTCCCCCACGCCAGGGTCTCCCCAAGGGGGGGAGGATAGCTTGTGACAAAGGGGTTGGTGGGGTGGGGGCTGGAGGGTCGTGCACAGGAGAGAAACTCTGTATACCCCGCGCTTGTCTAATCATTGATCGTAGCCGATTCCTCTAACAGGAGTCCCTGTGGCTCAGGGGTTAGAACCACAACTATTTGTGGGGGCACTGCTTGTGGACACAAAATACACAGTCACTACACTTTAGAGTCTATCCTGTGAAGCGCTTTGAGACATCTCAATGACGTGGGGGCTTGGTCCTGGGGGATGGACAATGACGGGTTGTGGGGGTCTCCAGGCTGGTGCTGCCGTACGAGCGTCACATGAAGGGAGAGGAGGACAAACCGCTGCCCCCCCTCCAACCGCGGAAACAATACAAGGTCCTGAAGAACAGAGAGGGGAGAACGGCGAGCACAGAGCAGGACAAGCCGGGCAAGAGGAAAGCCAGCAGAGACACACCCAGCACGGAGACACCCACAGTGAGTTCATCTACCTTCCTCTGTGACCTTGCCTGACACCCAGACACAGTAAAGCTCCCTCTACACTGTGCGTCCGTCCACACTCCCAGGTCAGGGTTAGAGACACAGTAAAGCTCCTCTACACTGTGCGTCCACACTCCCAGGTCAGGGTTAGAGACACAGTAAAGCCCCTCTACACTGTGTGTCCACATTCCAGGTCAGGGTCAGCGACACAGTAAAGCCCTCTACACTGTGTCCACACTCCCAGGT